TGCTCTCGCAGAAGACTGGAGTTTAGTTCCCAGCATCCACCACTGCCCAGCTAAATTTACTATTTTATTTTGTGCATGTTTTGCCGGCATGTATGTATGTTCATCACGTGCATGTGAAGGTCAGAAGAGGATATTGGATTCCCTGGAACTGGAATTAAAAATGTTTGTGACCCACCATGTGAGTGCAGGGACTCAAACCCGTGCTCAAACAGGTGCTCTTAGCCACTGAGCCGTCTCTCCAGCCCCCTAAAATTAAATCTTAAAAATTACATACTGGATGCTGATTCATAGAAAATCATTTTTGGATAGTGCATAACAACTTTAAACTCTGTAGTTCTGTCTTTTCATTAATTCACTTGTAGATTAAAACTTCTGCATAGGCAGCCATATCCATTCCTTCTTTATGTATTTCATTCCATGTCTGTCTTGCTGGGTTGACCAGACTACGGGAGTTGCAGTTTTAGGAAGAATAGAATAACATTGCTACCTTTTGTCTAATTCTGAGACTATTCTCGGCATCTTGAGTTCGTTTCAGGTGTTTTCATAGACAGCATTGGCGATGGCTCATCTCCGTTGTTAGGACTGGAACCAGCTCAGTGGTATGCCTCTGAGAGGGTGTGTAAGGGCATTTCTTGGAAGGATTTGAGGGAGAAAGGTCTTTCTCAAGTGTGGGCACCTTCTAGTGGCAGTCCAGATATAAGGAGGTCAGAGGGCAAAGCTATCGGGGGTTTTTGACACCACCTTTGTTCCTTGAGATGTTACTGTTGCTATCCTTTGCTTTGATCAGAGCAGCTGCTTCCTCTGCCTTCCAATGTGGACTTAAGACCAGTGGCTCTCTGGGACTCCTTCACGCCTTCAGTGCCAAGACCTGTGAGGTATCAGTCTCATGGACTAAGCATCTAGCAGGTGCTCAGGCTCTCCAGTGTGCAGCCAGTCACTGCTGAACTACCCAGCGTGTAGTGTGTAAGTCAATCATAATGCCTTTGTAATTATCTTGGTTTGTTTTTGTTCATTTTAACATAATCTAGAATTGCTTGGAAAGAGACAATCTTAATAGAAGAATTATCACAACCAGAATGGTCTGTGAGCATGTCTGTGGGGCATTATCAAGATTGCTAATTGATATAGGAAGGTCCACCCACTGTCAGAGGTACCATCCCTAGGCAGAGGGTCCTGGACTGTATAAAAATGGAAACTGCAGAAACATGGAGGAAGCCAGTAAGCAGCATTCCACCATGGTTTCCGCTTTAGTTCCTGCCCCGATTTCCCTTCGTGATGGACTGCATACCTGGAAGTATAAGCTGAAATAAACCCTTTCTTCTCCCAAGCTGCATTTGCCCATGGTGTTTATCATAACAACAGAAAGCAAACCCAGACAATAATGTATATTTATTGCAGTTTGTTCCTTTAGTACAGTGGTTCTTAGCCTTCCCAATGCTGTGACACTGTAATACAGTTCCTCATGTTGTAGTGACCCCCAATTACAAAATTATTTTCATTGCTACTTTGTAACTGTAATTTTGCTACTGTTATGAATTGTACTGCACATTTCTGTGTTTCTGGATGACCTTAGGTGATCCCTGTGACAGGGTCATTTGGGGTAGTGATCCACAGGTTGAGAATTGCTGCTTTAGAGAATCCTAATATAGCCTTCCTTGGAGCGAGAAGCTTTCTTCTTCTAGTCTTACTTTTCAAAGAGTAGTTCTCCAGATGGAAATGATGCTGGATTTTATTGGAAACCTTTTATTCCCCCCTCTTTTTGATATAGGGTTTCATTCTGTATCCCAGGCTATCCTCAGCTTTGCAATGATCCTCCTGCCTCAGCCTGCTTAGTGCTAGGATTGCAGGCCTGATCCACCAAAGCTGACGTCTCAAAATCCCTTTCTACAGCTACTGAGATTATTACACAATGCTGCCCCATGTTTCATTGTGATTAGTAACTGTAAAAGTGCTAACACAAAGTCATGTTCTTGGGGGGGGATATTACTTGAACATGACATTGTTTCTTTATTTGTGACTGGAGTTTGCTTTGCTGAGTTCGGTAATCACTTTGGATTTTATTAGTGAAGTTAGTCTATACTTTGTCAGTCTTCTTAGGTTTTGAGGTCAGAGTGTGAGTCAGTGGTAGAATGCTCCATGGATCCCAGGGTTTGATCTCCAGCTCCATAAAAATAAAACTTAAGAAAATGGGCCATGAGATTTGAAGTTTTCCCTTTGTAGCTAATAGTGTCCCCAATACACTGCTGAATCTTCAAGGTCACTGTAACCCCGTTTTCAAGTCCAAACGGCTCTCATCTTTTCTCCTATTGGCTCCTGTCTCTGGGGCCCTCCTTTGTGCTGGCCTCTCTTTTCTCCACTCTCTTTAGGTGGTTGCTGACCTCTTCCACTTCCTTGGGTCTTAAATGGATGGCCTCATTCTGATTCTGCTCGCTTGTGTGTTGCTACCTACCTTCACGGCAGTGTTATCTGAGCATCTGACAGACTTGCACACACGACAGAGCCCACAAGGACCTTGGATTCTATCTTCCCCCTGCTGCAACACACACCACCATCTCCTCCCCCTCAGGCTGTGGCATCAGACTATCCTTCTTAGTCTTTCTGAGACCTAAGACTCTCTCACCTGACCTGGGACACCGTGTTAGCACTAAAGCTGGTACCCATCTCCCAGCATTCCTTACTTCTGCTGCTGCCTTTGCTTGATTTCTTCGATAGAAGCCCACATACTTTGATGGTGAGATGGTGGCTGATCTAACTCCCAGTGGTAAAGGTAGATCTTACTTGGTTGTTTGTTTGTTTTAATGTAAAGGGCCAGATGATGAATATTTTAAGCCTTATAGACCACATAAGCCTGTTGCGTATTTTCACTCCCCATGACAATGTTAACTGTAAAATTATTTCTCAGGTTGTGAAGTGTACAAAGGCAGGCGGCAGATCTGTTTATCCCCTGCAGCCTAGTCACTCGGTATATTTCACCTCCTGGTAGTTGAGGGAGGGTGTAAGATCTAAGGAGGCCAATCAGGGTGACTTCCGCAGGAATATGGGCAGCAGTTTTCCTAATTCCTGGGGTGAAAAACACTCTTTCCTCCATCTCAGGCACTCTCATCACCATCTTTACTCATGCTAAAGGAGTAGCTCAAATGCCACAAGCCTCCTGTTCCTTCCAATAGACTGCATTTCCAGGCTTCCATAACTCATATTTGTATGCATTATGGTTCCTAAGACTCTACCATCAAGTCTTTCTAATCATCAGTGATGGACCAGGTTATCAGACGGATACACATCTCTCCCATAGATGGAAGGTGAACAAGTCTGTCCAGTCTCAGAGCTATGTGGCATAGTGGGTTTGCACAGTTCATGCCCAACATACACGTTCCTCACGCTAGACTATCTCCTAGATATGCTATTACCAGGCATCCTGACATGACCTACTTCTAGACTATGAAAGTGAAGATGTCTTCCTAGTCAGCTGACACACCCATGCGCATGGGTATCACCAGACACCCGAGAGGCTACCAGAATGCCATTTTCTTGCCTCTGTGTGCCCTGTCAATGTGATGGCCTCTGACTGCACACACTTCCTTTGTGCACATCTGTCTCTCGTATTTACTTGTGCCAGGCCAGCATCTTCAATTTAGTCGGTGAGTCACGGGAAAACAGGTGATGTGTGCGGCGGCTGGGGAGGCCCTGTGTGTTGGAACTTGCTCTCCTGTGGGTAGACCACAGCCGCTATAAGACGCAACTCGAGCCAGATTCTAACAGTGGGCAACGCATGGGGGTGAGATCAGCCACAAAGCCAAGAGGAACCAAACCAGCTGAACACAGTACAAGCTGCTGATCACCAGACTCACCAACCGTGCCTGTTTAAGTTATTAAGTTCAGGGATAGCTTGATACCCAGAAACAGACACGTTGTCCTCATGCACAAATTTGCATGCTAAGGCTGAAGTCCTAGTAGGCATCCCAAGAGTGATGGTTTCTACTTACTTGCCAACAAGGACCTGTGCAGAGACTGCCCGGCGCCCAGCTTTTAGGAAGAACTCACTGGAGGGCTGGCCCGAGGGACAGGCTCTTCTGTTAATGTCAAGTGATGGGCGCAAACGTTGACCCGCTTGCAGCACTGCAGCGGTCAGTTTATGTTTCAGATTCTGGACCTCTTCAGGTCCCATTCTGGCAGAGCAGCCTAGGGTGAGATCGCCGGCTGAGAGGCCATACAGAGTGCTAATCACTTCCTAGCAGTACGTAACCTGCGCTCATCTTTTACTAGTCTTTTTTTAAATTTTTAAACAAACGAGGAAACAAGCAGCGAGAGTAAATGAGATGTCTGGGGTGCCTAAGAAGCGGCAGAACCTGATCTTGAACCTGGGGGTCTAAGCTAAAAACCTGCTACCATTTCTAGTTCCTTGGACTCTCCCAGTGACCAACACTAGACACACTGTTTCACAAAACCATGTCCCTGGTCCTCTGGCTACTTAATGCTCAGCGTCTACGGAGGTGGGTGTGACCAGGGCCATCTCTCAAAAGTAGGGGAAGGCCCAGGGATGATTCCTGAGGGATTCCGCGGTACCACGCACACGATGCAGTGGGGCAGTCACAGTCGCGCTTCAACGGCTCCCAGGCTCCCTGCCCGGTTCCCAGCTTCTACAGGATCTCTAGGGTCCTCGGCCGCACCTGTCCCCGAGGCTCCCATCCGAGGCTCCCGCTCTCTCGGGTCCCCTCAGTGAGAGAGAGTTCGAGAATCCCGCCCCCCGCCCCCCACGTCGATCTTCTCATTGCGTGACCGAGGCTCCCTTCCCCTTAGAGTCTCCCTGGCGACACGAGATCTGTTTTGGTTCTAACCGCTGGCCCTCGCGGTTAGACAAGCGGGAGATGCCGGTTCGGGGCTGGAGGCGCGGGCGCGCGCACGTCGGCGTCGGGCGCTGACTCCACCCTTGCCTGTGCGCGCGCGCGGCTGCGGCGGCTGGGGCGGGGCGAGCAGAGGGGGCGGAGCCGCCGGCGCTGAGGCTGAGGCAGAGGCTGAGGCAGCGGCTGAGGCTGAGGTGGCTGAGGCTGAGGCGGCGGCGAGGGGGCTCCTGGCCGGGGCCGCGGGGCCAGCCGAGCCCGGCGCAGCGCCCAGAAGCCGGACCCCGGCAGCCGGCGGGCGCAGCGTGACCCGAGGTGAGGCGGCGGGGACGCGTGCGGCCGCGTTTATGTAAGCGCGGGGCAGGTGGCTGAGGCCGCGCAGCGCCGGCGGGTGCGGACCTGACCGCCGACCCCAGACCCTATAGACCCCGGGCCCGCCCTCGGCGGGCTGCGGGTGGCTGGCACATCCCGGGCGGCGCGGGGAGGGCGGGCCGCGTCCTCTCGGTTGCGCTGCGCTGCGGGAGGAGGCTGCGCCCAAGACGGCTTGTCCGCTCCTGGAGGCGCCGCGTCCGCGTGGGATGCGCTGCGCCGCGGTGAGCCGAGAGTGCGCCTCTCGGACAGGAGGCTGTGCCCGCGGAGGGGACCCTGTACTCCAGGGAGGGGACCTGTGCCCATCAGACAGGAGGCTGCGCCCGGGGAGGTGAACCGTGTGCCGGGCAGAGGGGACCTGTGTGCTCCGGGGAGGGGACCCTGTATCCTGGGAGGAGACCTTAGCCCAGCAGAGGGGAGGCTGCGCCCCAAAAGGGGGACCCTGTGCCCTGCAAGGGGAAAGCTGAGCCCGGGGATGGAGACCTTGTATCCTAGAGAGGGGACCTGTGCCCGGCAGAAGGGAGGCTGCTCCCGGGGAGGAGACACCTTGTGTCACTCTGAAGCTGAGTCCGGGGATGGGGACCCTGTGCCCTGCAGAAGGGACCATGTGCTTGGCAGAGGGGAAACTGCGTCCAGAGGAGTGGATCTTGTGTCCTGCAAGAGGGGACCTGTGCCGAGCAGAAGGGAGGCTGAGCCCGGGGGTGGGAACCCTGTGCTCAGGGGAGAGGAAGATGTACCAGGGGATGGGGACCCTGTGCCCTGCAGAAGGGACCATGTGCTTGACAGAGGGGAGACTGCACCCAGTGGAGGGGGACCGAGTGCCCCGCAGAGGGGAGACTGCGTCACCGGGAGGGAACCCTGTAACCTGCAGATGGTACTCTGTACTCCGAGGAGGGCGACCCTAGCCCCATGCCCCACACAGGGGAGGCTGTGCCTTGGGGAGAGCACCTTGTGTCCTGCAGAGGAGGCACCGCGCTTCCAGGGTGTAGACACCGTGACCCGGGTAAAGGCGGCTGCTTTTTGGTGGTCCGTGCCCCTTCCGAGGGCTCGGAGTCCACACGGGGCGCCGTTCGCCTGGGTGACGAAGTTCCCAGTGCCCCGATTGCCAGGCATCTGCTGCTTTGGGAGCCATCTGGGACATTAGGGGCTGGAGGTGAATTTTGACGCGCTCGCATAGGTGGTAGGAAAATCACTGTGTGGTGACTGTGTGCCAGAGAAGGTGTCCGATGAGGATGTGGACGCTAGACTGTAGTGACACGGGAGTTGCCTGTTGGCGACCAGGAATGTATTTCGTTCGGGATTTATGAGGGGAGTACCCTCACCGTTGTGTCTGGTTGGACGTTAATGTTTTCAGTTAGCAGGTTTGGGTTGTCACATCTTTTCCCTTCTTTTGAAAACCATTGTTGAATTTCTATGAATTTCTATTCTGGAAGTATAATGAAAAGTGGCCTGATAGCAACTTGCTCTTTTACTGCAACAATAGTTTTTTTTTTCTGAGATTAGAAATAATGTATTAACCCTCTTTGTACCTTTGAAAGGAAGCTGCGTTTTCCAAAGCTGTTTGTCTCAAGAGCAGTTTCTAAGCTGTTTGTAAAAGCCAGCTGTTTCTTCTTTTCTTGGGGATGAAACTTCTTTACCCTTCTTGCTTGAGAGGGTTCCCTGCAGAGAGAGAGAGAGAGAGAGAGAGAGAGAGAGAGAGAGAGAGAGGGAGGGAGGGAGGGAGGGAGGGAGGGAGGGAGGGAGGGAGGGAGGGAGGGAGAGAGAGAGAAGAAAAGAGGCAGAAGGTTGGTTGGTAGAGCTCCTTTTGGAACGATGGAATTAATGGTCCCTTGGTACAGGTTCCTCCAAGGGGCAGATTCACAGCATGGGCACCCACGACAGGGGCTTGATAAATATTGCATGAGACATACTGGGCTGGGTGCTGTGACCCCACAGTGGTGGAGAGGTGGAATTCACAGGCTTTGAAAGGAATGCGTTCTCTGTGCCTGTTAGATGTCAAGGGGTTTCAGAAACCGGGCACATTCAGTTGCTTCTGCATCAGCGGGAAGCTCCGGTTGGAAGGATCGCAGGAGACCTTCCTGCAAGGACAATGGTGAAGAGAGAATTTAATGGTGTATTTCTTCCATGATGTGTTCATTCAGTCACTGCTGGTAGGCCAAGACAAGAAATAACATCATCCTGAAAACACATCTTGGCTCACAGGCAAACCCACTTCTTTGTGAGTTTATACATCGTAAAGCATTTAGACTGTCTTAGAATTTTTGGAATTAAAAAAAATTTAAACCCATCTTGTCCTATGAATGAACAGTTTCCAACTGGTCATGTGCTAGATACAGGCACAATACAAAAAACCCACTGACATTTACCTTACTAATCATTTTTAATAGCACTAACATTTTGAGGTAAAATTATAATATTTAACTTTTAGGTTTAAAAACTTAAGTATGCATACAGGAAGGCAAACAATTCATATGTATGTAATATATCCAAACAACACAACAGAATAGGCTCAACCTCATTCCTCTCTATACCCCACCACTCAGTTATATAATATATATGTATATGTAAAAGTATATATACGTTTTTGATATAGTTTTTTTTTTCTGGTACTGGGGATTGAATGAACCAAGAGCCTGACACATGCTAAGCAAGAGCTTTACCACTCAGGTGTATCTCAGCCTTGAGAAATGGTCTCACTAAGTTGCCCAGGCTGGCCTTGAACTCACTCTCTATGTAGCCAGATAGGCCTTGCGTTTTCAGTTCTCCTGTCTTAGGTTCCTCAGTATCTGGAGTTATGTCAGCTTTTAAAATAATAGTGTTTTAACATTTCCATTAAGAGTGTAACAGCAGGGTTCTTATTTAGACATGGGCACAAGGAAGACCTGCTCATAGTTTTTTAATCCCAAATTCCTTTATCAGTAAGTTGTACATAAGAATTGGATTCTATTGCCTTGATTGCTGTGATTAGCCATGTAAATGCATAGGACCAGAGAATATTGTTTAAGTAAGTAGGAGGTTATCTAGAAGCAACTTTTAGAGATTGTAGTCAGTGAAGTTATACAAATGCTAGGGAAATGAGCAAAGTTAGTATGAAAGCTTGGAGAGGTTCAGTTCTACTGGAAAACTCGATGGTTTTCTGTGTCATTTTCTAACATAAGAATATCCAAAGTCTACAGTTTGTGAGGGAAATGGCTAGGTTTAAAACCCTTTATTTAATATGTTTATAGTAGATGAAATAGGATAAATAACTAGTAACAGTTTCACTTAAAAGTTATCCACTAAGCCTGGCTGTGGTAGCACATGCCTTTAACCCCAGCACTCAGGAGGCAGAGGCAGGCAGATCTCTGTGAGTTCGAGGCCAGCCTGGTCTACAAAGTTACAAAGAGAAACCCTGTTTTGTTTTTTTTTAAAAAAACCAACCAAACAAAAAAAATTATCCTCTAAATCAGTGGTTCTCAACCTTCCTAGTGTTGCAGCCCTCATGTTATGGTGACCCCTCAACCATAAAATTGTGGGGTTTTTTTGCTACTTTATAACTTTAATTTTGCTACTGTTAAGAGTTGTAATGTAAATATATGATATGCAGGGTATCCAATATCTGTCCCCTGTGAAAGGGTCTACCCCAAAGGGGCCATGACTCTCAGGTTGAGAACCACTGCACTTGACTAAGATTTCTTCCTTATCCCTTAGTGACCGTCTTTCTCAAGGAATGGATGGAGAAGGTGCTGTAACCAGGCCAGCAGAAATCTCTACCTTGCCTTCCACTGCAGTTAGGATCATTAATATCAGGTTGTTGTTGCTTCTTTTAAACAATTTGATAATACCGCCTATTGTTCTTCCCAGTGTGTGTGTGTGTGTGTGTGTGTGTGTGTGTGTGTGTGTGTGTGTGTGTATGTGGTGCTCTAGGAGTTTGTATGCCAATGACTTTGCTTTCAGGCATGATGAGTTGAGTTCAGATGGAGAAGGAAGGGAAGGAAAGTAGCTTAAAGGTGCCTGGTAAATGCTGAAAAGCAGAGTGGAAGCTGTTGGCTCTAGATCAGTGATTTTTAAACTGGATGCTGTTTCTTTCTCATTGGTGGCACCTATGCTCCAGGTTATTGTCCTAGTGAAACTGATGAGGCTAGTTCTGCTCACCTAGTGTTCTCATTATGAATCAGTGGAATGGTAAGCAAGAGTAGACTCTAATGTCTGTGCACCCTGAAGGGCAAAGGAAGAAGGTTACGGAAGGAGACAGAGTAGGTGTCCAAGAAGTGTGGGGATGTGTTCGGCTACAGTCTGACGCAGCCTTTCAGGCAGAGGGGACTCTAGGGTAAAGGCCTTGACATGTGTTGTTAACATCAGGGAGCCATTGTGGTCGGAAAGGGAGGGAGAGTGTCAGGAAATGAGGCTGGAGAGGTGGGGAGGGCTGCTGCTTGCTGGAGTATAGAGGCTGTGGTTAGGGATTTACATTTTAATCCCAGAGTGATGGGAGATCTTAGGAGGGCTGGTCTGCCTCCTCTTCCCCCTCCCCTTTTCCCTTTTAGAGAGTTTTGAACATGATAGGGAAGGACACGATCTGGTTTAATCTTTCAAATCATTCTGGTTTGTGGGCTTTTAGGAGCTTGTCATGTGCCAAGCTGTTCCACATACTTCATAACTGCAGGCTTAAGCCACTGACAGCTCAAAAGGTGAACGTTATTACTGCCCAGCATTTCTATTCATGTGTTTAATTCTTATGTATATATGTGTGAGTGTAGACAATGTGGGAGTCACAGGACGACTTCTCAGATTGTCTGTCCTGTTAGCAAACACCTCTACCTGCTGAACTGTCTCTCCAGCTTCTTACTGTTACTCCTATGTTATAGGCGGGTCAGTGGCACAGACAGATCCTCTAAGCATGCTGCATCTGTGTAAGATGCTTTGTCTGTGAGGTGCACCATTGTTTTTTTATATTCCTGACATAGGAA